TGCAACAAATCCTAATAGAACTATTTCGACAAATGTTGTGGCCATGTCACGTTGTTTGTTTCATATCGAACGGACAATGCACAAAGCATAGCCCAAGCACACATTCTACACGTAGAGTCATGGTACAATGTGAGTAGTGGTATTTTTTGGACGTTTATCCTGAGCTTTGTCTTACATACAAATACGGATCTTTTACTTTGTTTGTGGTTGTGGCTTGTATTGTGTTTTTCAGCCTTTTGACCATTTGGGTCCCTGGGTTTTGATCTATTAAGATTTACCATTTATAGTTTTGTATGATGATATCGTGTGGCCAAAAAAAAGCTACTCAATAGAAGGTATATACTGTATAGGTTTAATATTCTTGCATGTAGATTTCATTCCTGGGAGCTCCACATGTGTAATGGTTTACAATATTGATTGTCAACCCTTAAACCTACATCAAACAATAGCTTCTTGAGATGCATTGATTTGATAAGAGTATCATGAAAATCTTCAATGACATCAAATGAACTTATACCTTTCGAATGTTATAGAGACCTGATATATAAAAAAAGATACTACATTCTAGAATCTAGTTGAGCAATATATGTGTTGACTATGAAAAAGATTACATCTAAAGCATTATGGCTAGTAACGCAATCTAAGTTTTAATCTTCAGAAAGTGTGATTTTTTACCAACCAATCTTTAAGATGTATACGAGAAACATAGACCGGTTCATTTTTCTCAAATGTTTAATATTGCATGCGATACATGAGCTTTTTTTCCCACAAATCATCAACATATAAATGATTTTCCTTTTTGCTCAGAATAAAGGATACATTTTAGCTTGATAAACTTATAGTTCTTGCATGTGCTACACTGTTTTTAGTGAATCTGATCCGTATTCTTGGGCTTCTCCTGAATTCTTGTTTCAACAAAATGCATGCTTGTAACTTGATCATGCATCACGACTTTCCTATTACCATGTACCTTTACTTTTGCAATAGATTTTCAACTTGGTCTAAATAATCCGTTTTTATCTTCGTTATATTAGATAAATGACTGTATGAATGGCTAATTGTACTACCTTAGATGCAAAATAGATTGATATACTTTTTTCCATTGGAAATGAAGAGTGTAATTATCAATGATATCGTTAAAAATTTGAATGAATCTCTCACATGAAAGAAAGAGTATTCTTATAATATTCATACGACTTCAGTTAGGGCAAATACGTATTAGGTTTGGAATATCATGTTAAGTTTCCTTACATTCTGATTATCTTTCTACACAAAAATTTGCTTTAGAAATTTTTTTTGATTATCCATATTCCTAAATTAGCAGTAAGTGAGGGGCAATGACCGAAATTTTTAATATGTGACAGTGCAGAAAGCTCACTTCATATTATGTTTTTAGTCTAAGATTTGAAGATGTTTCCGAGAGACATTAAGAAAACCTATACTTTGTGACTATGATTTTCATGTGGTTATTTTGGGGGTTAGTCTAGATAGTTTGGAAATTCAAGATGCATCATGGCATAATTTTCGTTTTCTTGTCATTAGGGACTAGCCCATCTATACCTATGTTTTAATCCATCTCAGACAACCATTTCATCTGCAATTTTAATTTGATCCCTCTAAATTAATAGGAAAACAGAGTTATAAACCAAGACTAATTCAAAATCTCCCTCCAACTTGCGCTTTCTTCGTATTCTTAATGCTCTTTCCCATTGAATATATTCTAGAATCGTCAACTGATTGCGAGGTATTCTATATCATTATCTATCCGCTTCATTGGAGCTCTGGGTCTAACACTCACAACTTTGAAGACTTTTGCAAATTGACATGAGACATGCAACCCACATCTCACAGGAATTTGCACGAGGGGATAGTGAAACTCACTCACCAATATAAATTATTGATTTCTGTTACTATTTATTTTCTCCGCGCTATAAGTGAGCGTCATGAAGCAATCTGGAATCTACGAACTTTTTCTGACAGAATCGGTACAATCCAAAACTTATTAAGCGTTTGAATTACAGGAGAAAAGAAACTACTGCCAGCTTATCAGGAATATGGGGTAAAACGCATATCAAGATCGGTTGTAAACTGCTGCTCCAAAAGAGCTTCAGCCTTAACTACGAAGGAGAGCGACCAGGAGTGTAGGAATTTTTACAATTTTTCTTTACATTTTTTTACGTCTTTTATTCCCATACATGACAGTTCTAGTAGTCCGATCTCGTCTTATCTCATTTTCGCATCAATTCACATCCTGAAACAATATTCCTTTTTTATTGCTGTAGTAATTCGCAGTTCACGCTCTCTTTATGCCTTCTGACCCGGAAAAAGAGTCAACTCGGTCAAAAAAATAATTCTCGTCAATTCGTTGTGCGAGCATTGTGACTAGAAAAGTGAAAGTGTTTTGGAGTAGGCCATTTTGCTCATTGAAGAGTGCATGCACAGGTTTGTGTATTTGTGCAAGATGATCTTGTCACAACTATCATACTCGAGCAGAGGTTGGAAAGAAAGCTTTAATTTACTCACTTAATCTGTAACCAGTTACCTTGCCCATGCTAAATTTTCCTTCCTATATGTTACTCATTTGGGCACATTGCATTCTAATTCATCCATCGTGTAAGATTGAATTTTATTTTTTACAGCTATTTGAATATTTTTTAGCAATTGCAATTCTATTTGCTAATGATCTTAAAAAATATTTTTCTCTTTGAAAAAAAATCAAGGAAAGATATTATTCAGTTGTGCATGGATAAAAAAAAGGCTAAAGAATGAAATTAAACTCTCATATTATCACAATTGAATTTTTTCCATATTTTTTCAAAGATATAAAAGGTATGTAGATCCAATATTTTATTCAAAATATCAAAAAAAATTAGATAAAATTTTTTATTGTTCAATATCTTGCAATTTAAACTTTCTTGTCCAATATTCTTAAGCTTGCATATATAATTATAGAAAAATTTCTACGAAATGGTCAAATACATCAATGTATTGACTCATGTCTGAATTGAAAATTTTTCTATTTAATCATAATATTATATCTAGAGAAACTGATTACATCGCTTCTCTACCTCATACTTGCATTTCAAAACGAATGATGAATTGCAACAATGATGAAAATGCATGTAAAGAAATAATGATGCACATCAAAAGTAAGAGGTTTGGCAATAGAGACTATACTTGCGCATACTAATTATCAAGTAGAGACTGAAAATCTGAGTAGATTCTAAATTAGAGTATTTAAATAATCTTCAAGCAATACATAATCGACAAGAGCTATATCTAGGTAATTTTGAACAAATCTTTTAAATTCTATCAAAATTTATATATTATGATTCTTTAATCATACTCCTCTTTGAATGCTCTAAACAAGAAGAATTGATGCAACTATAATACACATTTAACAACTCAAATCTCAACTTCAAGTAATAAGGATGGATTGAATCTTGCTAAAGTTTCATCAGCTTTCTTGAAATGCATGCAAATTTAATTCTTTTAATCTCAACGTCATTTCGAAAGAAAAATATATCTATATGGTTATACATGACATTTTCCATGCCAAAAAATACAACCTAGATTGGAATGCCATTCTGATCATTCCAATCTAGTTTAAACAACAATGTTCACGTGATATAAATATTGTGATGAATGCAAGTATATATAATATATACGACTAAGAATAATACATATCATTTATACAATAATCTGAAACTATTGTAAAGTATCTAAAAGTAGAACATGATTGAAGTTCCAATCATTCTTGTAACGACATAGACTTTCTATGTTTTATATCATTTGTTCTTAAATTAAATTTTCATAAACAATATTCATCAAATGATTATATGTTTTACATACATGAATTATCATTCATGTTGCATTGAATGAAAGCTTATTCTTTCCTAACAAATGCGCACACAACATGCGGAGATTGGAGACCAGGGCGCTTAACATTTAGGGCTATTCTGGCCTTAGCACGTTAGTCCTCACTCTTCAATTATGAATGTCAGATGAAATAAATGAAATATGATTAAATATATAATTTTAATTATTTTTAAGTAAATTTAAAGACAGAAGAGTTTAATAATATAGAACCATAAAAATATATTTAAATATCAATTCAGAGTCAAAAAATGATATAATAAATAACCAATTGTAAATGTTAAAAATGGTATGAATGATTCTCTCCAAAATGTGCCCTTTTTATCTGAATTAAATCTTTAACCATAAAAAAATCTATTATAGTTTTATGAATAATCTGTTGGCTGAGTAACTTTCATATATTAAGTTAGAGTTAAATGCAATACATTGTGATCAAAACATGAAGGAATATATATATATATATATATATATATCCCAAATAAATATTATGTGCAGTTAAAAATGTTAAAATTAAATTTGAATCAGTATAGTTCTCAATAATTTTTGTGTTAAAAAATAATTTTAAGTCTTCTCGTGAATCGTGATGATTTTTTTATTCTATTAATTTTTTTAATATTATATATGAGATTGTAAGTTATTTTTAGAATATATACATATAATAATGTAAAAAATTTTATTTGGAGAAAACGAAATTTCGTATTGAATATACGTATACTTGTCAAGACATAGTTTTGAACAAATTCGGATATGACTTGGCATCAAACATGTAAGACTCTCATATTTGTGTGAAAAAAAATGTAATATATTTTTATTAATTTGATGTTTAAATATTTTTTTCAGAGTCGGTTTTATTTTGCAAGACTTTCTGAAAATGGGAAACGTGCGGTTTAGCTGATAAAAACCGTCATTACAAGTAGTACAAACTAAGATCGGTGTATCTGATCACGTATGCAAATTAGAAGGAACATTGAACAACTAATTGCACTTGGAGCGTGAGAACAATTCAGTAGACAATATAAAAGTGATATTTTTATTTTATTTGCATGTCGGGGATCGGCTAGTCTCAGTAGTAACTAAATTGGGTAAGTCGTTGGAGTTGCCCAATTGTATTTATTTTGCACGAAGCGGCTCGTTTCTTCGAAGTCCTGACTTGTTCGTTAACCTAGCTCTCCCGATTGCACTTGTGCCCTGATCGAGCCGACGATCATATTTTCAGGTTGTAATCAAATCGCAGTCTCAGTGACAGCGAATTGAGCTATAATCAAGTCCTGAGTACTCCTCGAATTTGAAATTTGAGAGCGGAATAGAACACGAGGCAAGATGGTGGAAGCTGTCAAGGGCTTGCTGATCAGCTGGTACTTTTTTTTTCGTTTTCCTTGTAATTCTATTTTGTTTTCGGGGCTAGCTTCACTTCTCAAGACGGTAGAGTCGTTGACGGAGTAGTGAGATCTATTCTGCTATTGCCTGTCTTTTACAGGGAGCGCAAATGAGCTCTGAGTTGCGATTGATGCAATTGAGGTTTCAAAATGTGGAATGATTAGAGATCGTTTGCTCCCTATCTTGTTCATTCAAATGTTTGGCGAAGATTTCACATCAGGATATATCCCTCGCTGTCGATGCAGTTCTTATCCATGAAGCAGACAGTCTCATCTTAATGTTGTATTTTGCAAGTCGATACATTCGAGCGTAATTTGTAGTTTGTTGTTGTCATTGAGAAGCTAAGATGATCAAATAGAATAATTCTGTAGCCGCAGGTCCTCTTACATTGTCCACAGCTTGGTCTCATCCTTTTCTCATCCAGTGTAGTAAATTTGTCACGTTCAAGTGGATGAAATCGTTTTTCCCCACATGAAGATCTAAAGCTGAGTGTAAACTACATTTCAATTACCCTTCCGTAAGCTGAGTGAAGGCTGGTCTTGTTTTTGTATGCAGTGACATACCGATGGCGCAGTTCATTATCAATCTAAACAACAGCATGCCCAATGCCCAAAAGTTTATTCTCGAAATACTTGATGATACCCACATGTTCGTGCAGCCTCATATGGCTGAAACTATCCAGTACAGAGTCCAAGAATTCCGTGATTCAAATACTTTCGAGAAGCCCCATGGTGTTGGAAACTAAGTATCCAGCAGTGCAAGAAGCCGTATTTGCAGATTAGGATGGGTGGTACTTTACAATGGTCTGCTCCATCCTTCTCTTAGTGATCAAGAGACTGCGAGAACTGATGTCAGGGGTTTGAGTGTACAGTTAGATAGCGAATGCTTCTTTAGTAAAGATAATTCACGCAAATATCCATCAAGCACAATGACCAGACGGTTGGGATTGAAATCACGTAGTACTTACACTTACACTTACACGTAGTATTTTAAGTGAGCCTTTGTGGTTTCTGTCAAAGTGAGGATGTATATATATGTCAGCTGGAATTATTGATGAAGCCGTAAGTTTTGTGTAGAGTTTCATGTAAATATCAAGCGACATCTGCTGATTGCGTAAGCTATGCGAGACAATAATACTCACCTACTACCGTATATGAGTTTCTGAATATTATCAATCAAATATTGGAAACCAACGCGATGAATGTTGAAAAGAAGTTGAGAATTGCTGTCAACTCTTTTGTTAGCTTTGTGATGAGTTCAAAGTGTGAATTATGAATTTTGAAGGTTTAAGCACTCAAACAATCATTTCACACTAAGCGGTGTTTTGTACCTTGCACCAGATTATTTCTTTAGTTATGTAAACTCTTTTTCTGTACTAATATAGTAGTCTTCACTCGTGAGGCCTCATGAGTGTGTTCTAGAATATTAGTGTTTACTTCTCTGTAGTTTTTATGTTGACCCTTACAAGAATGAGTTGGCGATCAGGGAGTTGAGACAAAGTCATCCTCGAGTCCTCTCTTCTCCTCCCCTGAATTGATGTTGTGTTCTTCAACTTTTGTTACAGTCCTTTGTTATTACTCATCCCGCTTTCCATGAAGTCACTAGGTATTCCGCTATGGTCAGGTTTTGATCTTTACTTTACACTCTCGGCCAACAATGTTTAGATTTTGAGCAGTTATGATTATGTGAATTATCTTGATTCATTTTGTGATAAGTTAAGGCTGGGTTTAAACTTAATATTAGTGAAGGTTGAATTAGAGTTTTTGGTATTCAATTTAAAAATAAGAGGAAGATCTCGCAGGGAATATCTTATAGATTTTTAACAAATATCTCGTTGTTTTCGTGGATCATACATGGAAAATATAAATTCTTTATATGGAGATTTGATTTTATATATGTTTGCTAATTGTGTTGTTTTTTATTTGTCAATTTTTTATTCAATTAACAAACAGTTTTTTTTTCATTGATCTGTAATTTTTACTTAATCCTAGTTAAAGTTGAATTATAAAATCTGCTACCAGTATATATATATATATAAATGCAAGTCACAGATGACATTGGATATTTATAGATTTTCATAAAAGACTTTATCGTCTCGTTTACCTAGCATGAGATTCACGAATCACGCGTATTTTTAGATAGGCTCTGTGTATATCAATTTGCTATGTTGCTCTGTGCTAGTTAGTTTTATGATGCTTTAACAGGACAATCCATTACATCATAGTTTCTAGTTGTCATCCTAACGCTGAGGTTTACATTTGATGGGCATAGTTGTTATTAATCCATGTCTTCTACTTATATCTCATCCCATTTTCTTACACATCCAGTTTTCCAATCTCCTATCAAAGGTGAAATTCTGACATCTTACAATCTAATGAATCCAACACCACTTTATTGTTCGACCAATCATGGATTCCGTGTGGAGTGCATATCTTTACATCTATCTCAAATTTCAAGGCTTCAATGTCATAGTCATCAGGACATTGACCACCCAACCATTTCCTAGGCAGCAGAATTACGCGCGATATTCTTCAGCTACGAAGTAATGTGATGAAATAAGTTTACATGTGGATTGATTTACTTTTTATTGAGAACTTCACAAGAAACTAATGTTGTCACAAAATTCCTCTACTCTATTATTTTCTACTATATTCCCACCCTTATCATCATTCCTTCAAGATCTGCTGCTGACATGCAACATTCCAGTTCTCTATATACAAGTATTTCAGTCTATATGGACAGCTGCTGGCAATTCGACCAGAATCTAGATGGTGAGGTTGAGGAGTGTAGTACACTCCGACGGACATTAGGTGTAAAGGAACCTATGTAACCAAACTATGGATTCTTGTAGCGTACTAGTACTGACTGGCTTCACCACAGTTTCAATCTCCATGTGGGAAACTAGTATAGACTTTTAGTATTGTCAACAAAGTAACAATCGAGCTTTCATGATACTACATACTACTCGGACAGAGAAGGGCAATATAAGACAAGGTCGCCTACAGCTTGCAGTAGCTTATTAATGATTAAGGCCCTGTGTTACTGTCGATGGAAGGCAAGTCTTCAGAGATGGTAGGGCTTGATATGTGGAAATGAACCTCCCAAGTCTCCCACCCTTATGATTAGCTGCTTTCCCTCTGATTCTTACTAAAGTGAGAGCGATACCCGTCATGTCAAATAATGTGATTTTCAGTATACAGCGTAGGGTTTTTCGACATAGAAGAAAATTAAGATCTTCACATGCTTCGAGAACGTCCAAGCATTGACCTTCATGTACCTATCATTACACCTAAAAACCATGAATTCTCGATGAGAAGAAAACCCCTCTTTTAGTTTCTTCCTATTTTTCAAAATTAAGACGTAAAAAGAACACTTTGAAACGAATAAGACATTCAGACGACTAGTTAAGATTGAAAGGTATAGGAATCAAAGAGGAACTTGATAGCCCAAGACGGAAGGCAGAAGGTATTTACGGGACGATGTTGCTCTGACTCCAGGTTTGAACATGTTGGACTCATGGGTCTAGAGTAAAAATGATAAAAACTGTCCGTGGTGAACAAAAAGAGAAAAGAAATTAGTCAGAATTGAATGAGCGGGTTGCGAGGTACGCCTTCCTTACAGAAACTATGTTGGTCTTCGCATCCATCTCGCTGTCTTACTTGGTTTTCTCTCTCTAAAATAAAGTTTGTCAAACATATCGCATGAAGAAAGGCATCTGCAAACTAGATTGTTACTCATTTCCTCGAGAAATGAGGCTAAGTTCCGAAGGAATGGTCAAGTTTAGGGTTTCATATGGGGCAATATCCTTGGAATTGGAATTGGACCAAAGGAGTGCGGGAGCCTACTTCGAAGTGGCACTAGAAAAGATAAGTTCTGAATCGCCCGTCGTCATTCTAATGTTCCAGCGTTTTGTAACTTTGACAGATATTGATGGATCTCTTTATGCCGCAGAACAAACTCTTAACGTATTCTCTTTTCCTCAAGGTCGTGTCCTTCGTTACTTCATATGATATACTCTTAACGAGAAATGCACAGCCAAATCCGAATGCAATCAGCGTACATAACAAGAAACAAAGGGGTGCAAGGGAGAAGATGAAAGGCGTACGTGCTCACGAGATTCTAAATTATTCAGGCCAAAAACCAAAGAAGAAGAAGAAGAAGAAGGTGCATGGTAAAATTGGAGTTCTATCGTTGAGGGGGTTCGACGGGAGTCAGAAATAGGTGTTCATTTCATCGCAACATTAGCCAATCGACAAGATTGCAACAAACCTGTCATGTCACGCATGCAAGTCTGCTGACTTGAGCTTTGTCCTATTAATACTACTATTCCATTTACTCCCTTGACCCAGGGCTAAATTTGTAAGTGCAGAAATCATTGCACCAACTTAGAAAAGAAGAAAGGTTTCACTGTAACTAGATTACAAAACCATGATCTTGCCGGACGAGATTGGTGAACTTTTTGGCAATTGACAACTATTTTGTCGTCCTTTTTTTCTGGTCAACTTCATCATTTCAAAATCTCTTTTGAAAGATTATGAAATATAATCAAAGTAGCATTGCAACTAAATAATATGAAACATGTTCTTGACTTTATAACTTACTCAAAGACTACATTAAGAAATAAGTTTATAGTATAAATCATTTATTGTTTAGAATCCATGACATTATGAATATCACTGAGTTCTATATATTTTTTTAAACATTAATTTCATTTATTAGATAATTATAACATAATTTTCACAGCTGAATACTAATAAGTATACATATCAGCACATACTGTGCTTAATTTTAATATACAGACTATCTGAAAATTACTTAGTTGATAAAATGCTAAATCTGTTTTTATGTAATTTTTTTATATTCAATCACTAGTATAATTACATTAAGATGAAATTATGTGATAATTTCCAAATTAATTGATGATAGTATGCACTGAAAGCAATTATAAAAGTATGAATATTTAGTATAATAATAAATTTTTTAATCAGATTCAATCTTGAAGTCTAATTCTATATATTGTAATTATTATGCATGGAATTAAAAAATTTTGTCATTCATTGTATTTATGAATAAAATTAATCTAAAGTGAAAAATCAGCTTAATGACATTAATTCTAAGTATTGATTATATAATCATATGTTACCAAAATTACATCTTTGCATTTGATTTGAAGATAAAAAATTGTTATCAAGATTTTGAAATCAATTGATTGGAGAAAGATATATTCAACACAATAGTGGAAAAAATATTTTAAAAAATCATTAAAAAATTCTACTCACATACATGATATCAAATCAGTGATGGATTTTTTTTCTAATGTGTAATTTACAATTGCTTCATTCAAATCCAATTCAGAAAAATCGTATTGATTTTAATTAAAAATATATTTATAATTTTAATTCAAATATTATTTAAAAAATTATTTATTTAAATTCTCACTCAAATATTGACTAGCCATAAAATATATTCATTCAAATATTTTAATTTTGGTTTCATTTCATATTCTAATGATTTAAGAAATGTAAAAAATGCTCAAATTAAATAAGCTAGTAATAGAATCAATTATAAATTGACTTAAATTTATTAATGCCCATGTACATTTTTTTAAAATTTGAATATTTTCTCACAACTATTATTTCATTTCAAACAAAATCATTGAAATTTTACCAAAAAATTTCAAATAAAAAAAAATCAATTTAGAATTTCAAAATATTTGAAAAAATATATTAATTTTTTAGAAAAATGATCTAATCTAATTTTAATTATATGTAATATGACACATGTTATAATCAATATTTTATGATTTGAGGATTTGACATGGTTTGCCACTGCCAAGCGATGGCAAACCATGTACAACAATTCCGTTTGATGTATATACTTGTTTTGTATTTGTTAAAAATTCAAAAAAATTGATTGCAAACCTTATCATAAATCTTTATTTCTGCAAACTTCAATTGATTAAAAAATCAGGTGTCAAAAAGTTGTGTACTTTGTTAAAATTTGCAACAAATCTTACTTGAAGAGTTACATTGTTATAATTGAGATGTATTTAAAAATCAAGGTGGTGAAGCTAGATAAGAAAACAATCAAATTCTAGGTTTGAAACATAACATGTCAAAAATGATTCAAGAGAAACAATAATAATCTTAATTGCAAAATGCAGGACATAATAGTGGTGTACAACTTAATAGAAGAT